AGACGAAAGGCAGCAGACGCTATCCCTGCTGCGTCTACTCAGCACTCCGCATTCATGTGCATGCTGATCTGATGCCTTGTGGCTGCATCTCTGCCCCAGGGCTGTTTGGGGCCACCAAACCTGCCTAGCCTAGACCTGTGAGGCAGGTGGGAAGTGCTGGAGCAGCCTTTAGCTAGTGACTGGTGGATAACTGAGGCATGTTCTGCACTAGTCCCAGAGTCGTCTGTTAGTTGGGCCTCGGCTGCCCCCAGCAGCAGCCTGCTGAGGAACACATACCTTGTTGGCTTTCCGCCTTCCTCAGAAATGCTTGCATGTCCTTATCTCAGGTTCTGCTCCTGGAGAAACCAACTACACACGTTGTCAGTCACAACCAATTCTGACCCTCTAAGCAGAAGAGGAGTTTATTGGAAGCCTGTCTGGAGGCTCAAGGACCACACTTAGAAAGCAGACAAGAACAAGAAGCCCTGGAGAGCCCAGGAACGGGAAATGCTGTCACCAGGACCATCGGCCAGGGGCTGCCCACACCTTGCTGGGGAGGGGCTCTTTGTGTCTGGATTCGATGGTCCAGTTGGCTGTGCCTGTGTCATGGGTCCATGCTCTGACCTCCAGAGGACAGAGAGAAAGAGAACTTGGTCCTCTCAGATATCCAGTAGGGGGTGGGGCACAGACCCCCAAGACGATTCCCGTAGGGGAGTTAACTTTAAATAAGAAGCAAAGGTGGGATGTGAGTGGTCCCTTCCCTCTCCCCAAAAATGTGCACTACAGGCATGTGCAGCACTGAGTGCAAAAGTGCCACGTGGTGGAGTAAAAATGACATTGCTGATGAGAATGCTGAGTAGTAACTGGCCCAGAAGACACAGTCCCCTCAGGTGGCCGGCTGGGTATGGTGTGCTTGCAGCACGGAGCCCTTGACTGGAAACACCTGGGCGGGGTGGGGCTGGCATCCTTAGCACTCCTCATCCCAAGGCTCCTTTAGGGACATTAGCATTTAAAGGACTTGTTCCTGCCCATTTGGGAAACAAGGTAATTTTACCCTCAATTGCTCTCATTGCTAGGAAACTTCCTCTCTTGTCCCAGGGCCTTAAATTTAGTAGCTGTACATCCTAACAGAGAAACAGCCAGAAAATTGTCCTGGTCGGGATGGGATCGAGATCATCACTCCATAAAGTTACAATTGCTCCTGGCTTCCTCTCGCCTCTTCTGGAGAAAGGCTGGACTTGGTAGGACTGGCTGGCCGTGCTCTTGCAGGACGGGGGGGGGGACCTTCATTTCTTCTGCTCCGGATCTTATCACTCCCCCAGGTCTGGGAAGTGCTGGGGTATATCGGAAAAGGGAAAGACAGGGCCCTGAAGACGAATGGACGGGGACGCTTTGAGGGTGATACTCTTTATCTTTGGGGAAAAGGACACAAGTTGAACTCGGCCTGTCATGTCAGAGGCTGACACGGCAACTGAGCTTTCTTTTTCTGAGGACTCTAGTCTCCGTTCTTACGTGTTTCAGTTAAGGCCTATTTCATGGTCAGGAAAAGAGGGCTGTTCAAGTTAGCTCAAGTAAAGTTATCCCAAGTAAGGGAATCCAAGACGGGACCTTGTATGAAGCTGGCTTTGGAGAGCTGGTGGCAAGAAGGCACCAGTGGATTCTGGGCGCTCCGGGCCGGCCCCGTGTGGTGGGCGCCTGCCCCCTGCGGCTGCACTCGCTGCCCCGCCTGTTCCAGCTTCTTCCTGCTGCTGCCCGCAGCTGCATTCTGTGCTAGCTCAGACTTTGGAGCTAATGTAATGGGTTCCATCCATCTTTGTGGGCCTGGCCGCATCGGTGGGTGGCCAGTCTGAGCTTCTGTGCCCTTGGCTGAGGAGCCCACTGGGGCACTGTGCTCCCGATCTGCTGGTGGGGGCTGTCAGATGGCACCAACGTGTGTGTCTACACAGGAGCTGTGGGTGGGGCAGGCTTCTGGAAGGCAGTGCGGACACAGTGACAGTACCGGATCTTGTTGGCGCAGGCTCTCACTCTCACTCCTGGAAGTGGATGTCAGCGTGGAGTCGCCACAACTGCTATCAAGATAGTTCTAGCATTGATTTTGCAGGGATGGCAGGGCTGCCTGCATCCCCATCCCGTGGGGACTTTGTGTAAAACTCAGACTCTAGAGCTCAATTGTGGAATCTCAGAGGGTGGGATCCAGAAATTGACATTTGT